GCTTTTATATATCGCATTTAAAGGTGGCTTCTCAAAACGCTTTACAGGATAAAAACAACAATAACAGCAACAACAACAGTATTGTATTTCATTGCACTTTGACAGATCGTCCTTAAATCAATTGTTGACTTTTCTCTCTTTACAACTGAACTTGTTTAGATTGACTGAGCTCCGTTCTGTACCACACAATGATCCCCCCAGAGTCTCTGTCCTGGGTGATTTGGGTTTTTTTGACAGAGGGTAAAAAACTCTCTCTCTCGCCCTCCCCCCCCTGTGTATTGTCTGTTTGTTTTGTGCTGTCCTTTGACAAAACAAGGCTCGCCAGATAATGTGAATCGAAACCTGTTTTTCTAGCTTTTAAAATCGTGGGATGTGTAAGCGGGAACACATCATTATATCTTACATATGAAAAATACATAATATAGCTCCCAAACAAACGCAAACGTGTTTTTAATAAGATGCTTTTATTCACTCATAATCCGACAATTTCAGGAAGACTAAGGGAGGTCTGGCTTTTTTTCTGGAAAACCATAACTCTGGTCTTGTCCAGATTGACTGTCAGCGCCCAGGTCTGACAGTGCTGCTCCAGCAGTGCCAGGTTCTGCCGCAGCCTCTGTTCTGTGGGCGACAGCAGGACCAGGTCATCTGCAAAGAGCAGGAACTCGATTTCTGCAATTAATGCAGATCAGTAAATCAAGGGACAAAACAATTATTGCGCCTGGCTCCTCAATGGGCTTTGGCGTGCTAATGCGTTGGTTTAACAGTCCGGGTGTGGCAATGTTTTTTATTATTGTTATAGAGAAACATCATCAGATTTTCCCAGGTTCAGAAAAAAAGATCTAAAGTATACTAGTTTGTCACTCTTCTCATCCCCTCTTTGCTAAATGGCTTTTGAATAGAGTCACATTAAGAGAGAGGTGAAACAGCCCTACAAGGCCCTGTCACAGTACACAAATATAATTATATCTTATTAATTTCTTGAGATACGTGATTCTTTTAATACAGTCTTTGCTGTGCTCTTGGGGATCCTTGTGATATTTCGAACTCTAGTTGAATGATAAGTGTCGCAGTCTAAATAATTTTGGTAGTTAGAAATTATGGAAAGCTCTGTTAAAAGCAAGGGAGTTTTTATGTCCGTTGCAGTTTTTTTGCAACATGAATATAATCATATCGTTATTAATTTCTTTAGATACGCGATTCCATATTATATTTCCTTTTTATCAAATTCTAAAAGTATTCGATGCTTAAAATGTTTAGGGAGAAATGGAATACTGGTCTGTATGTTTTCTTTAAAGTACCGAGACCAGCCATATACTGTATGTTTAAGTTCCAAAATTAATAT